CCCCAGACTGGATGCAGAGATTTCTTAAAAAAAAAAAAAAAAAACTTAAAAAAATAGATAGTACCTGTGATAATATAGATATGTTAATTTTTCAGAAGTTGAATAAATACAGAGTTATATGTATGGGTTTATATGTATGGGTTTTTTTTTTTTTAAGATTTTATTTATTTATTTGACAGACAGAGATCACAAGTAGGCAGAGAGGCAGGCAGAGAGAGAGAAAGGGAAGCAGGCTCCCTGCCAAGCAGAGAGCCCGATGCCATGCGAGGCTCTATCCCAGGACCCTGGGATCATGACCTAAGCCGAAGGCAGAGGCTCCAACCCACTGAGCCATCCAGGCACCACTGTATGGGTTTTTTTAAAAATCTAAAGCATATATTAGTTTATAAAGCATTGGCATACCTTCTTTCTAATTCAACAATAGGGAAGAATGAATAGAAGAAACTGGAGATCAGCCAAGCAGTCCTGGAAAAAAAATATAAACTATATCAAGAACAGAAAGAACTGCTCCACATCATTTGTCACTTGTAACAACTAGGTAGAAAGGCGACCCAACATTTAATCAGAACTGGGGTAGCAAAATGACCAAGTAAAAGGTGAATTCCATAGTGGTTTTCACGACGATAATTTGCCAAATTCCTGAAGATAGCTAATTGCGTAGACTCCCTCCCTGACTCATGAAAGGTGAAAACTTTCAATGATCCTATTAATTTTAAGGAATTAATGAGACAGAATCAGTTTGCAAAAAATGAACAATCTAGCTCATTATGTAATGATAAGAATCTGGATTCTGGGGCACCTGGGTGGCTCAGTCGTTGAAGCCTCTGTCTTCAGCTCAGGTCATGATCCCAGGGTCCCGGGATCAAGCCCCACATTGAATACCTGCTCAGGGGAGAGCCTGCTTCTCCCTCTCCCTCTGCCTGCTGCTCTGCCTACCTGTGCTATCTCTTTCAAATAAATAAATAAAATCTTAAAAAAAAAAAGAACTTGGATTCTGTAAAACGGCCAAATGAAACTTAAAAAATACATCATTTCGGGGCTGCCTGGGTGGCTCAGTGGGTTAAGCCTCTGCCTTTAGCTCAGGTCATGATCTCAGGGTCCTGGAATCGAGTCCCACATCGGGCTCTCTGCCAGGCAGGGAGCCTGCTTCCTCCTCTCTCTCTCTCTCTCTCTACTTGTGATCTCTCTGTCAAATAAATAAAATCTTTAAAATAAAAAAAAAATACATCATTTCAAGGGAAGCACTTCATCCTATGAATGGCAAGGATTTAAAAAGTTTTATCAGGGTGGGGGACAGGTTAGCCCAGTGATAGATATTAAGGAGGGCACGTACTGCATGGAGCACTGGGTGTTACATGCAAATGATCAATCATGGAACAGTAAAGCAAAAACTAATGATGTACTGTATGGTGACTAACATAAAAAAATAAAAAAATTAAAAATAAAAAGTTTTTATCAATGTATGAAAGGAGATACAACCAAGCCTATGACCCAACTAAGATTAAATTGGTTGAAACCCCATCTGGTCAAAATAACATGCTCTTTCTTTTGGTTTTATATCTAGGATGAAGGAGAATCAAATCTCTATAATATTATTGTACCCCAGGGCTGCCACTGGTCCTTTGACACCTTCGTACCAATAAGAAAAAGATTTCTTCCAGGTACAGCCTGGAAAGATGGCAGAGAGAGCTGTATTTCAGGTCTCCCTTCCACCTTTGGCCAGGCACCCTTGTGCAAAGTACAACCTGCACAGGCCCACTTGCCCCTCTTAGGAAAGTTTAAGAAATAAATGTGATGAAATTACTGCCACTCCAGAAAGGTATAAGTATAGGGACAACAAAGACATTAATTTCAACCTGCGACAGTGATACTTTAGTAGCAATTTAAGTACCAATTTTGTCATTATTGTGAAATTTTGTGCACATCGTTTGCTTCTAAATATAAACCTAATAATTTCAATTAAATTTTTCAGACTATGCTGATAAAATAAGGCTTGTGGTCAATGCTTAAACGTCAGGGAAATTTTGGGTTGTTAAGTTTAAACATTTTGATTTCCTGGTTGTGTTCAGTGTTTAGAGGAATTTTATCTAATAGATATGAAAGATGAATAATTTGAGCAGTAAGGAAAGTGTAAACTAGGAGTGTTCCTCTTTTCACACATGTCCCTTAGAGCTTAGACATTTACGATTTAAGCAGTAATAGGTAGAGGAAATAGAATTAAAGCCACAATGAGGGGGAAAGAAAAATATTAAGAGAAGGAGAACAACAACAAAAAAAGAGGAGAACAGAAAGATGGTATTCAAGGCAGAGAAAGCGAGAGAAGGACAGAAGTAAAATAAGAGACAAAGGTCAGCTGGAGAGAGAGCAGAGGAATTCAGAAGGCTCTGAAATGTTAAGGCTCATAAGCTGCTGATTTCATATGTGGTTTTGTACCTCTTTTCCCTGCTCTTTACTACCTGGTATACTTTTCAATTGTTTATTAAAAAAAAAAAAAAACCTTCTCTAAAGAAACTGCTGCCTTCAAAATAAAACCAAGACATGCACTGGAACAAAAGTCTTCAAGACCCCTGAGAGTCCTCCCAAAACTTATTTTACCCTTGGAATGTCTTGGTACATCCACGATTCACAGTTTGGGCCCAGAAAGAGCATCTGACCTCTTCCTTTATATCATCTAGCACAGATGAAACCAGGTTTGAGTATTAAAATTAGGCTTTCCTGAAGACAAAGGATCTGTACAAACTATATATATAAAGAATAATATGAAATCCACTAATGTGGTTTTTAAAAACCTGGATTATTTTCTTCTGGTGATCCATTCCAGCTCCCTCTTTGTGGGAGGTGCCAGCTTAGCACTCATTGTCCAGCCACAGCTGCAAGGCTACCTTCCTTAATGCACAGAATCCAGAGTCTTACATGAGGCCTATCCTTTTGGCCTCAAAAATATAAACTACATACCACGTAATAACTCTAAGGTTCACCCAAGAGATACACACAGACAATAATAGGTGTCTTCCATCAAGGGCCCCTTGGAACTACCAGTGAGCAGCTCCCTGGAGGGTAAATTATTCTCCAGGACAGTGCGATATCACCCCAGATAAAAACCAAACTTTAGGCCTTGCGGCAAATTGAAAAGAGGACTAGGCATTAGGAGTTCAAGGGATTTAGTCCTTGACTCATTCCGTGACTCTTTGGTATGTTATTTTATCTTTAGAGGCTTTATTTACATTAAAGGTAAAATAGAACTTATCTCTATCTACTTTAAAGGATTAGGGTACGAAGAAAAGGAGTTAGATAAAAAAGTGCTTTGAGAAAGTATAAACTCTTACTAAAACAATTTTTTAAATATTAATTTTTATTTATTTTTTAAAATTCTTACAAAAAAAAAAAAGAACCACATCATTCCAGAGTCTCCATAATCTTTGCCTGTTCTTTTCCACCAACTTTTGCCAGGCCATTCTTGAACCCAACTTCAATTTGCAGACCAGAGGATCTGAATTAAAGGCCCTCTAAGATCTGTCACAGCTCTGGAAGTATAGGATTCCCATTCATCCAGTGAATAGGAGCGCTTACTATGTAACCTGTTGGAAACCCAAGAATGAGTAAAATCTAGCAAAAATGATAAAACCCAGCAACCATTAATGATGGACTATCATTTGAAAAGTTTATACAGATCTTCCTCAATTTACAAGGGGTTTATACCATTTGCATAAAGTTTTGGAAGCATTAATCTAGATATTCCCTCTGTCCAACTTTGTTACCAATCATAAAACATTTATCAAGCACCACAAAGCTGAAAAATATTCGCTAGAAGCTCCAAGGATATAGAGAAGTGTAAGATTATTGTGGTGGTCTAAAGACCTATCGCACTTTGATCTTGCAATCCCTAGACTGGAGTCCAAATTCTATTAACTTACCGCATGATGTTTGACAAGGATTTTTTGCCTTTCTAAAGCTGTTCCCCCCCCCCCCCATGAAATGGGGCTAAAATATAGTACCAGTTCCTTAGGGATGTTGTGAAGTTCAAATGACAGTTTATGTAAAGAACAGTTTCTACCACAAAAGTACTTGATAAAATAACCACGATATTTTGTGTGTGTGAGCGCAGTGCGGAGGGATGATGCGCGTGAGATTTCCATAACACACAACTAGCAAAACAAGACTGTATGTTGCAGAGCCGTTTCACTTTCTCCCTCTGAGACGCAAGCCTCTTCCTTTGCTTTCTCCTGTGTCAGGCACCGTTTCGTGACCTCAAAGTCTCACAGTTCTTCAAGTATAAGGACAGTAACATTTCCACTGCTCAGTTACGGATTTATGGGGAACTCTTTATATACTAAGGGGCCAATTTCAAGTTACTCCCTTCTCACTCTTTACCGTGGCTAACGAACAGCGTTGGAGACCCGAAGTAAATGAAAACAAAAAACAAAAAAAACAAAAAACAAAAACGTTAAGTCGCAGTTCGCCAAATATAATTTAAATGTGGACTGATTTCCTTACAACTGCTAAGAATGAAACCCCTATAACGTACTTTGAAATCTTAAAAAAATAATTAATACTGTTACATTAGGCTTGAAATAAAACAGATACATCCCCAAGGTCAGTAGCTGAGGAAGCATCAAGGGCCTTGATGTTTCTCGATTCTTTCTCCCGCCCCCATCCCCTTTTCCAAATTCAGCCTAGATACGGCACTTCCACCACTGCCTTCGGGGCAAGGTGCGGGGGCTAGTAAGGAGAAGGGTGGGGGAGGTGGGGCTGAAACGGAACTTCATTGTTCGCGGGACCGGCTCTTCCCGAAAGAGCCCGTTGGCAGCGCCTGCGCAGTGCGTGCTCTTTGTGCGGGGCTGCAGCAAGCTGGTTGTTTGTGTGCGTCTCTCCGAGGCGGTGGAGGGAGAGCAGAAGGGGCGTGGCCAGTTCTGTCGCATTCTGATTGGGCTCCTGGAGGGAGGTGGGCGGGCACAGGGCGGAGCTTCTGATAACAACACTCCGCGCTGAGGCTGAAGCTGTTTGTTGCTGCGCCGCCACCGCCCGAACCATGGTCCGCGCTCCAGTCGGGCTCTCTTAGCAGCAGCAGCCGCCGCCGCCGCCGCCGCCGCCGCCGCCCTGTGATCGCTGGCTTCACTTCCTCCTTTTCTTCTTGCTGAGCCACTTTCCTCCTAGAGCTATGACCGTCGTCTCCGTCCCCCAGCGGGAGCCACTTGTCCTGGGCGGCCGCCTTGCGTCTCTGGGCTTTTCCACCCGTGGTTACTTCGGGGCCCTCCCGATGGTGACCACGGCCCCTCCGCCTTTACCCCGGATCCCGGACCCCCGGGCACTGCCCCCCACCCTTTTCCTCCCTCACTTCCTCGGGGGAGACGGTCCCTGTCTGACCCCACAGCCTCGCGCCCCTGCACCTCTGTCCAACTGTAGTCTAGCTACGGCGGGAGGCACCCCTCGGGCAGCGCCAAAGAAGCGGCGAAAGAAGAGGGTGCGGGCCAGCCCGGCGGGGCAGCTGCCCAGCCGCTTCCATCAGTACCAGCAGCACCGGCCGAGCCTCGAGGGCGGGCGGAGCCCCGCGACGGGCCCGAGCGGAACGCAGGAAGTCCCGGACCAGGCGGCCAGTTTGGCCCCAGGTCCTGCGGCCGCAACCCCAACTGAGGAAGCGAGCCCTTTCCCCGGCCAGCTGCCGCCCGCGGCGCCCGGCCAGCCCTTGTTCAGAAGAGAGGTAAGGACCGCGAGGGGGACATGGAGGCTGTTGAGTTCTGGCCCTTAGACGGGCACGGCCGGGCCCTGGAATTTGGGGCCCTGCTCTGAGGGGTCGGGAAGGGGGGGCCGGGGTGAGGGGCGGCTGTTTACTCGGGAGGGAAGTTTCCGTGACGCCCGCTCTGTTCTAGCTGGGAAGGGAGGGGGAGGGGGAGGCATGCGCTGGCGCTGTTGATTGGCTCCCGGGAGCCAGCCAATGAGAGGAGCGGCTGCGCCCCAGCAACAGCCCCAATTTAGAAGGCTGGCGCAGTTCCAGGGGGTTTCGGTGTTCGGGCGCGCGGTGGGGTGGGGGATGGAAGGGGCCCACGGGAGGCGACGTCAGCGCGCGCTACGTGCGCAGCGCTCCGGAAGAAGAAGAAGAAGAAGAAGAAGAAGAAGAAGAAGAAGAAGAAGAAGAAAATGGCCTTAACTATACAAATGGAAGAGAACAGGAAAGAAACTTTAAAACTAATAATGATGAAACTGATATTTATTGCACATCATTTATCATCTACTGGACAGTAACTGGCTCATTTACTCTCTCAAACTCTGGATAAGAAGCTATTTATTATAACTTCCATTTTACATATAAGAAAAATGAAGCAGACAGGCATCAAATAACCCTTTTAAAGTCACAGAGCTAGTAAATTCAGTTGCTGGGACTTCACTTAGATGGTCTAATATCAGGGCCTTTACCATTTATCACCTGCCTCGTAAATGATCTAAAAATTAGGCATAACCTGTTTTGTTTTCAGAGAACAGGTTTTTCATACTAATTACATTTCATTTAGGTTAATATTCCCCGAAAACACATTAACAAAACGCTGGAGGAAAGTGCATTGAATCTATGGTAGATCTGTGATTTAAATTTTGCCATGGATAAGCTAACTCTGTGCTAGAGTCAACTGAACAGCCAGCCATTGTTCTGTGCTGTGTTAAGTTAAACAAGGAGGCCTGTAGACCTGGGTGGTTCTGATGTCTTAGAGCTCTAGCAAACCAAACGCTGTGAATTCCTGAATGCTGAGAAATCAGGCCTGAGGACAGCCAATCACAAACAGCCAATAAGATTTTTCTGAATGAGGCAAAGGCTTAAGCTACAGCAAATCTCATCATTTCTTTGCTTTGTGTCTGCCTTTTCTTTTCTCTCTCTCTCTCTCTCTCTTTTTTTTTTTTTTTTTTTTTTTTTTGTCTTTCCCTAGCTTCTGCTGGCCAAGTGGTTAGGATAACCACTTCTGCTTTGGCACTGCCTGATTCCCACTCATTTTTGCTCGAATAAACTCTTAAAATTTTTTCATATGCCTCAGTTTGTCTTTTAACAGCCCTGACATTTGGGTCGTTTTGTGTAGGCACCTCTAAGGAAGTTGAAGGAAGGTGATTCAAATTGCTAGAAAGAGTATGGGAACATTGGAACTGTCAATCAATTTTTTTAGAAAACATTTTTTTAAAAGGCATAAACTACCCGTGGAACAAGATTGCATCAGCACCGCAAAGTCAAGGAGAAATCACATCCAGAGAAGGAAATGGTCAACACTGAACCTATTTTGTGTGCACAAGACGGTCCCTTTCTGTCAACCAGGAACTTTAGCTTATTTAGGGCTTTGGAACGTTGGTCTTATTTCTCCTGTTCATCATCTACCTCCTGACTTTTCAATCAGCCCTCCTCCTTAGCTGGATCCATTTCACTGCATATCACATCTCAGGAGACTGGATCACAGAAGCGATTTCAGGACTCATAACTGAGCAAAACCCTCAAGCTCAATAAATATTAGCTGGATGACTGAATCATTTCTATATGCATAATCCTTCTGGACAAGTAATTTCACCTAAAATCTCCGGGCAGGAAAGGACACAGAACTGCAGGATGTAAGAACTATTACCTACGTTAACCAAATCCGACTAGGAAAGGTAGGGGAGTTTGGCAGAGTGAAAAAGGACTTCAACTATGCCTCCATTTTGACCTCTGTACTTTCTAAGTGATTAAGTTCTTTCCAGCTCCTCTCTTAACTCAGGTGAAAGACCTCGGGGGCAAAGCAGGCTCTGATGGGAACTGAAACTATCCCCTCAAGCAGTAAGAACTGCCCTGAGGCAGTAAGATCGTGCCCTTGGCAATGGTTGCACTTACCTTCCCAGCTTCCCGGCATGCACCCACCCACCTTTGTCCCCCATTTTCCTCATGTAAACCTGGAAGTGTTTTCAGCACTTCGGAGATGGTCTCAGACACCACGTGGCTCTCTTTCCACTGTCAGCCTCGCTGAAATTAATTCCTTTTTTGTTTCATTACCACTCATTTCTCTGTCTTTGGATTTTGTCAGCAATGAGTGGCAGAACCTGGTCTGTGTGGAAGCCGCAGAACCAGGTGATCCTGCACGCCTGTGTTCTGGCTACAAGAGGAACAACATGGTTCATTAGAAACTGGTTTGCAATATACTGATGGGTCATTTCCGGACTGTCATTGGGCCACATGAGATTGGGGCTCTTTTTCTTCCTTATCTTGTCAGAATGCTAGAACTTTTCCAGGATGGAAGAAACTGCCCCTGCTCCCCTCACCATTGTTTTCCTCTCTAGATCTCTCTCTCTCTCTGTCTCTTTTTTCTAAGACCTTATTTATTTGAGAGAAACAGCACGAGTGAGGTGGAGAGGCAGGGGGAGAGAAAGAAGCAGATTCCCCACTGAGCAGGGAGCCCAACACACTGGGCTCCATCCCAGGGCCCTGAGATCATGACCTGAGTTGAAGGCACAATGACTAAGCCACCCAGGCACCCCTCTCTTTTCTCTTTTAAAAGATTTTTTAATTTTGGGGCACCTGGGTGGCTCAGTGCTTAAGCCTCTGCCTTCAGCTCAGGTCATGATCTCAGGGTCCTGGGATCGAGTCCCACATCGGGCTCTCTGCTCTGCGGGGAGCCGGCTTCCTCTCCTCTCTCTCTCTCTCTCTCTGCCTGCCTCTCTGCCCACTTGTGATTTCTCTCTGTCAAATAAATAAAATCTTAAAAAAAAAAAAAAAAAAAAGATTTTTTAATTTTAAGTAATCTGTTCACCCAATGCGGGGTCTGAACTCCCAACCCAAAATCAAGATGCCCAAGCTCCACTGACTGAGCCTGCCAGGCACCTCAGCCCTCCCTTTCTTGTATTAATGTTGTAAGTGTGTAAGGAGAGATCTCTGTGCTTTTCCCTTCTGGATGACCTATGTGGCAAAGAAGGTGGGAACCAATTCGTTCTGGAGAAGAGACCTGTCTATCCTGTTCTCTTTTCCCTCTGGTATCTCTTCTCTTCAACTTACTGTCTTCCATGTGACCAATTTGTAGTAATACCTGGTTTAGGGTTAAGGAGAAGGAAGGGTCTAAATGAGTCGTTCTTATCAGAGTTCCCTGCCTCAGGGTTTCATACTCAATAAAACAAAGTCTTTCACTCTTCTAACTTAACATGGTCCCATCCCAGGTAATGGGATCCCTATTAGAGCTGTTTCCTTTTTCTTTTCTTCCTCCAGAAGGTGTGTGGAAGGCGGTACTTAGATGACCTCATGATTTCTCACAGCCCATGTTCTTCTCTGGATTATCACCAGCTTGTACTGCAAGGTTGCTAGTTTTGTCTTGTATCTGAGCTGCCAGTCATAAGGTCTGCTTTCCTGGTTCTTCTCCTTCCCCAACTCCCACGGCGGGCACGAACTTTTCCTGCATCATATCTACCTTCTTACTAAGATGGAATGTGTCAACACCTACTTCCCAGAGGCCTATTGGCAGAATGGCTACTTAGAAACATAATTTACAGGATAGAGGAAAACACACACATACACCCACACTCACACCCTTTATCACATTATTTCCCTTTATCATGGTCTGTTGTCTGAATATCGCCTTTGGTAACCCTGTGGGAAAAGAACCTGAAATTTGGGATTACCCCAAATACTTTATAAAGTCAAGCTCTTACAGGTAATTTCTAGTGTTACTTCTACATACGGTTTTCTTTCTCATTATACTCTTTTACACTCTCCTTATATAACCCAGTAAAATGTTCGGGAATTTTCTGCTTTGCTTACTGTTGTAACCCCATCGCCTAAATACTATGTGGCACATGCCATATATATATATATATATATATATATATATATATATATATATATATATGTGTGTGTGTGTGTGTGTGTGTGTGTGTATATATCAAATATATATTTGATAAATATTTATCGAAATACTTCGATAAGTATTTGTGGAATGAGTGAAGGATTGATCACATCTGTTGTGTCAGCTGTCGGAGGCGACCTTGCTTCCCTGGCACCCTTGCCCATGGGAGCTCACATGGTGCCCAGAACACGTATCAGCTCAGAGGTGGTACATGAAGCAGTGGGGCTGGGGGAGGTCTCTCAGGAAGAGCAAGACTGAGAAGAAATGGGGGCCAAGAGTAGCCCTAAAGAAGCAGTTCTCAAACTTCTAAATCTCAACCCCTTTACAATTTAAAAAATTGTTAAGGTCTCCCAGAAGCTCTCTTTACGTGGGTTTTATCAATATTCATTATATGAAAATTGAAATAAAACTTTTAAAATATTAATTTGTTTAACATAAACCACAAAGGGGCGCCTGGGTGGCTCAGTTGGTTAAGCGACTGCCTTCAGCTTGGGTCATGATCCCAGGGTCCTGGGATCAAGCCCCGCATCAGGCTCCCTGCTCAGGGGGGAGTCTGCTTCTTCCTCTCCCTCTGCTGCTCTGCCTGCTTATGTCTCTTGCTCTCTCTATCGAATAAATAAACAAAATCTTAAAAAAAAACCATTAACCACAAAAATACATTACATGTTAACATAAATAGCATTTTCATTTAAAACATAGCTATCAGGGCACCTGGGTGTCTCAATCGGTTGAGTATCTGCCTTTGGCTCAGGTCATGATCTCAAGGTCCTGGGATCAAGCCCCACATCAGGCTCTTGGCTCAATGGAGAACCTGCTTCTCCCTCTCCCTCTGCCTGCCACTCTGACTACTTGTGCTCTCTCTCTCGCTCTCTCTGTCAAGTAAATAATAAAAAAATAAAAATAAAAATAAAACATAGCTATCGGGGCA